TACTTTTGCTAGAAAAATATGGCAAGAGGAAGCCTGGGCAAAGATGTTCCAAGAGGCACCTTTAGTTTCATTTTCTGGTCTTTTAAACTGGGTGATCGAGAACATGAGAGAGGAGCTATATGACTTCTTAACCAATTGCTGGGTGATTTGGACTTATAGAAATAAAGTGGTCTTTGAGCAAAGCGAGCCAAAAGTAGAACTAATTAATGCAGGTTTTCGGCGATATGTTGAGGACTACCATAATTATGCTAAAAAGGTCTTCACGGCTCCAATCTACTCCTCCGGAATAAAGTATGAAAAATGGAGCAAACCTCCTATAGGATTCATAAAAATGAAGTGTGATGTAGCAACTAGCAACTTTTAAGAACGGTGGAGTCGGTTTAGGGCTGTTATACGAGATGAGCATGGGAGAGTGTTGGCAGCAGGAGTTAAGAAGATGGAAGTAAGATGGGAGGTTGGTTTGGCAGAGTATGCAGCGGGGGTGTATGGTATGCACTTGGCGAATCAAATGGGCTTTCAGAATATTTTCTTGAAAAGTGATGCATTAAAGTTCACTACAGCAGCAGAGCAAAGGAAGGATGATTATACTGCTTATGGACTTTTCCTAGATGATATACTCCACATTAGCTCTCAATTTGATGTTGTTAAATTTTCTCATGTCAAAAGAAAGGGAAATGTAGTAGCTCATGCTATGGCGAGATTAATCCCAAGTAATGAGACTGAACAGATTTTTGTAAGCAACATACTAGAGGAAATTTTAACTCTGGCTGAGTTTGATTTTTTTTTTAAACAAGGGGCTTTAAATTGATAAAAAAACATTCAGCAAGGGACACAAACGATAAAGGAAACACTTTCATCCACCAACCCTCGGACCAGCTGGAGAACCAATCACCCTGGATAGAGCAATATGATTCGCTTGTCCTGTAATGGGTCTAAATGAGCCAAACGTGGCCAGAGCAAAACCCTCATCACCTTCACCTAATGTAAGAGTCTGACTGAAATAGAAAAAGAAGAAGGCATCCACGACAATGTTTATGCCTAAGAAACTCAAAAACAGTAAAACGAAATTAAATAAAATAAACTAACATAGCAATCGAAATCTTGCTTCAATCATCATCCTCAGTGGTGGTTCAGGAGGGGGACGGATCATCATCCCTTCATCTTGAAGCATTCCTGAAGTCTCCCCAAACGCATTTAGTAAAGCCAGCGAAGAGCCTATGCCCTCTTGAAACCCAATGGCCATTTCCTTGAATTTGCTGGCAACTTCTTCCATATCCTCCTCCTTCTCTTTGTGCGTGCAACTTGTCAGCAAGATTGGAGTTCGGCTGCTAGGGAAAATTGTTGCTTACCCTGCAGAAAGTTGGGCAAAGCTCTCGGACTCCAAGTAAGAGAAAACGGAGCAAAATTGCTTCCACCAAAATCGAAGCAACAGTATAAGCAAAAGCCCCAGTCGATCGATCCCAATACCAAGTGCACGAGCCCTCCCTTCTCGATCGAGATTGAAGAGCGGCGCTAAAAGAAACAAAACCCTAGATACCTAGGGAGACGTCATTTATATTTATCTAAATCAAGCTGATCTTGATTTAGACAAAAATAAATGACGTTTTATCTATAAAAAAAATGTGATTAAAACAAGAATAATGTACAAAATAGGAATTAATAACTTTAGTGATTGTAATTATCTTCATATTTTACATCACAATGAAAGTAAAAGCATATTCATAATACTTTTAGTCACATATAATCAATAATTCTATTTTCGTAATATATTTAGAGAAAGTGTGATAGCAAATATTTATAATATCTCAAAAGTATGTTAAAAAATAAAAAATTTTGCAAGTCCAAACCTCTTTAAGAAGTATACACTATTGCAATGATTAAAGGGTCAATTTGGTCCTCGAAGTTGCAAAAAAAAGGGTCAAATAAGTCCTTATATAGAAGATTCTGTCCGGACGTGCCATTTGAGGTGGCTCCCGATAGAATTTTTTGATGAAATTTTTTGAGCATCTTATTCATTAAGTCTAGTTTACTCATACAAAATTTCAGCTAAAAATTCAATCTGGGAGACATTCAAATGAATTCTTGAAGATAACTGCGCTTTTAATGGCATAGTTATCTTCAAGAATTCATTTGAATGTCTGCCCGATTGAATTTTTATCTGAAATTTGGTATGAGTAAACTAGACTTAATGAATAAGATGCTCAAAAAATTTCATCAAAAAATTCCACCGGGAGCCACCTCAAATGGCACGTCCGGACAGAATCTTCTATATAAGGACTTATTTGACCCCTTTTTTGCAACTTCGAGGACGAAACTGACCTTTATCCCCTATTGCATTGTTGGGTCCCCACTAAGTTAGTGCATATTAGGACAAAACTTAAGGTATGCATATAATACTCCCCTCCCATTAATATTAGAATATGAGAATGTGATGGAGTTATTAAAAAAAGTAAATTTATGTTATTATTAAGTTGCATGTGACACGGTTATTAAAAATTAAATTTATGTTATTATGAAGTTGCCATCTTAGCTCAGCTGGTAGAGCGCGTGGCTTTTAACCACATGGTCGTGGGTTTGATTCCCACAGATGGCGATTGTGTTGTTTTTTGGTCGACCCCAAAATCTTTTGGAATTAAAATTTGGATGTTGTTTATACTAGTATTATATTAATAAGAATGATTTAGAACCAAATAAATTGTACCAAATTTGATTGAGATGATCATCTTAGTGGGACAAACTAAAATGAAAGATGAAAGAATGGAGATACATAATTGTACCCCGAATACATAAGATTGCTTACGCATTAATCTTGATGTTCGACCGTGTGAAGCAACTTAAAGGAGAAGAAAAAGTTCAAGAGATCTCGATTCATAATCTATTTTGGGGATATTGATTAATTTTAAAGTTCTTTCTAAAGTTTAAAGCTTGTTTGATAAATGTCTACAATTAATACTCTAGTGTCTAAAATTAGTTAAAATCTCTTGCAATTTATAGAGTTTAAATCTTTTGATAGAATCAGATGATTCTTTTGAAATTTATAAAATTTTGACAGAAGTGTTTGAATTGACTGATTCTGCTGATTTATGAGAAAATTAGCTATAAAATAAAGAAAATATCATATGAAAAATAGCTAAAATGATCCGCTACAATAAGTCACACATAAAATTAACTCTGACCTTACTTATTTTGACTATTATATAATTCAGCGCGCGAAATTAAAAATTACGCTTTTGATTAAAAAGTTGGTTGATAAAATTGATAAGTTGAAAAGAGGATTAACAAATGTGCTCTTAGAATATGTATTTCCAATAGCATCAATAAACTATTACACAAAAAGTTAAAATAATCCATTTCGGTCCATTCAATTTGAAATATATATCTAACCTTATTTTAATTATAGATATATTATACTCCGTACTACGTAGATTATAGATAGATAAATTCTGCACGATTTAAAAGAAGACGATTAATTATGAAAAATGACATGTATATTACTAACAGAGTTTTCTCGAACAAAAATATGACTTGTTGTATTTTTGGGAAATAATTACATAAATATGACCAAAATAAAAATGGTTTAAAAAAATATGATTAGTTACTAGAATGGTAATGAAATCATAATAGTTCATGTTCTAGTTTTGAACTTAAGTTACTACAACACCATGTTATAGTAATGAATAGTCATATTTATGTAATTAACTTTTATTTTAGTAATATTCTTATAAAAACCCCGAAGTCACTGTAAATGACGAGTCACTGTGAGGTAGCCATTAAATATGTTTTTTTGGGAAGAATTAAAAATAACTTATATTTTTGTCTTTTCAATTTAATTTAATAATATTCATGGAAAAAACTCATATTAATTAAAACACGAGGAATTATTAGAGAAAACAAAAATAAGTCTTTTTACGGAAACCGAGCAATGAAGTCACACTTGGAGTTTTTTTTTTGCAAGGACACTTATTACTTATGGAGTATTATTCAACATAGAAATTATGAAGTGATAAAAAAACATTTTTTTTGAAAATAAGTGATAAAAAATCATACTTCCTCCGTTCCTTTTTAATTGCAACAGTCAACATTTCACGTTTGTCAACGCACGAGTTTGACTATTAATATCTTTTAATCTTTATTAGTAAAAAATTTAAAAAATTCATATTTTGAAAATTTAGAATGAGAAGAATTTAACAATATTTTTTAAAAATTGAATTCGTAATACATTAATAAATAAACTATAGTCAAAGTAGAATGTGTGAATAGTATAAAAAGTCCTACGTTGCGATTAAAAGAGAACGGAGGTAGTAGGAAAGGGAAAAGGGGCAAATAAGCCCTCGAACTACTCAAAAAAGTGCAAATAAGCCCTTTTGTAGGAGGTTTCGTTTGTCTATCGTCATTTGGGGAGGTTCCCGGTGGAATTATTTGATGAAATTTTTTGAGCATCTTATTCAATAAGTCTAGTTTAGTCATACCGAATTTCAACTAAAAAATCAATCGGGAAAATAGTCAAATGAATTTTTGAAGATAACTGCGCAGTTAAACAACGCAGTGTAGTTCCGAAAGTCATTTGAGTGCCTTCCCGGTTGAATTTTTAGCTGAAATTTGATATGGATAAACTAGACTTAATGAAGAAGATGCTCAAAAAAATTCATCAAAAAATTCCACCGAGAACCTCCCCAAATGACGATGATCGGACAGAACCTCCTACAAAAGGGCTTATATGCACTTTTTTTATTAGTTCGAGGGCTTATTTGCCCCTTTTCCCTAGTAGAAATTATGAAGTGATAAACTGATAATGACCCTATTATTACTATTTTTATTATTTTTATTCCTTTAAAAAAATCATTATTTTAATACAAAATTTAAATTATACATTGCTCCATGTCTGATTTCTCCCACTTAAGTTCAACTGTAGCATCCCGCATATCTCTGCAACTAATCCTCCATTACACTATAATCATAAGCCACAAACTTCCAGTAAATCTCCCACTCTCTCTATCCATAAGAGTATAATGTTGTATATATATATGTGGAATCACACTGTTTGTGTATATATAAGAAATAAGAAATAGTTTTAATGAATTTGTTTTCTACAAAATTTATTGTTGATGTATTTCGAGTAAATTTTTAATCTACATTGTTATGTCTGTATGATCCCACATCTGATATTTTGACTTGCGGTTGAGGATCTGAGAACAATGCGAGTCGTGCATTTGAAGCTTTTCTGGTCGTTTTGGTTGTTACATGTGTCTGTATATGTAGTGTTACTGGTAGGGATAAGTGAATGTTTATTTGCGGATTTCACATTCGTTCGGGTAAAAAGTAAAACGAACATTTTTAACTGTTGTTTTCTGCTTGTAATTTTAGTTTTGGTATGATTTGCGCTGAATCTGACCGCAATTTGGTGTAGGATTCAGTTGCAATTGTGAAATTGAGGTTTCATTTTAGCCGAATCTGCTTTGCGCTATACTATTTTAGTGTTTCCAAAGAAATTCCTTTGAAGTAAGAGTATCAAGTTATATTCTCTGCGTGCCAGTAGTTGTGTTTTGACATCATAGTGATTTCAGGTGAGAAGAAATGACGGGTTTGCTGATTATTCAACCTCATGATCTCAAATTCACATGTAAGTTAATTAAAATAGGTCTTCTAATCATCCGAGGAAAACCTAGGCATTACTTCAATTCCTTTTGTAATTTTTCCTTTGGATAATGTATTTTTATATGGCTTGAGAATAATACCAGTATGAATGCCTTGGGCTCTATTTTTATCAATTTTGTCCTAGTTTTTTGTAATCTCTTCATGCCTTGATTGTGTTTTGCATATATTTTAAGCTTTCATTGGATGTATTTGTATCTTTCATTGTAATGCTTGTAAAACTTCTAATACTATTTCTTCTGCTCCAGTTGAGTTGCTGAAGCAAAGTTCCTGTTCTGTTACTCTAACCAACACCACAGCTCAATGTGTAGCATTTAAGGTGAAGCAATTTTCTTTTATTCACTAAATGATGTGAATATACGTGGAACACATTCATGTTCAATAGAGTTTTCTAGTTAAACCATATAGCTCAAAATCCCTCATATGCTCAATCATCCGCTTTGACTGTTTTCTAGCAGAAACATACGTATTCGAATCTTAATATGCTTTTCCCTTTTTTCCATTAACTGAATATGTCATGTAAGAAAGCCAATCCTCTCATTTTGCAGGTGAAAACAACGTCACCTAAAAAATACTGTGTCACACCTAATATAGGCATCATCAAGCCAAACTCAACAATTAATTTCAGAGGTACAAGTGCTGATCCTTCTGTCTTCGAGTACTATGAAGAATTCTGTCCGAAAACTTTCTGCTAATATGCTTATACATGTCTACTGCTTTTAGGGAGTACCGAATGTATTATTACTTTATTACGAATAAAGCACAATTATCCACTGGAAAGTGCTGTGGCTATATATTTCCAACAAGTGTTCTGTCATATGAAGTATTTGAATATATAATGTTTCAAGCTATACTTTCACCACAATTAACTGTTGTTATGTGTATAATAAATAGAATTCAATGCTCAATTCTAGGAGGCACTTATGACCGACAACTATATTGTTCCTAGTTCTACTTTCTGTCTGCACTACCATGAAGTGTATGTTTGGCATGGCATTTCATCTCGGCTGTATATAAAATTTGATTTCGGTATTTCATCTGCCCATATCTATGTTTGTTTGGTAGACAATTTTTTTCCAAAGTAGAGTAAATGGAAGGTACTTGATGTAGCTTTCCTTTAAATCTATTTAGGTCTTTTCATCTAATTTTTCCATACATGCTTGTTTGTTTCATCTCCTTCTACCTTCATTAATCCTCGTTTTCCTATACTTCATCTTTCATCTAGATTTTCATCTAATTGTGCCAAGCATACATCTAGTTTCTTCAAATACCTACATATCAGCTTGTTTTTTATTATTATCAAATATCAGTAACTATCTGTCCTGACTGTTCTGCTGCAATGCAGTTACGATGCAAGCTCAGAGGACTGCTCCAGTTGATATGCAATGCAAGGATAAATTTTTAATTCAGAGCACTATTGTGCCCCACGAGAAGATGGAAGACAAAAGTATTTCTGAAATGGTACAATTCTTTTACCGCAATCAATATTCAGTTACCGAGACTATATAATTGTTTCTTATGGTTGTTTCTTTTTCATTAGTTCACGAAGGATAAAGGAAAATACATCCAAGAGAACAAGCTAAGGGTCATTCTTATCAGCCCTCCACAGTCTCCAGTTTTGCAGCCAGTTAATGGAGTTCTCAAGGAAGATTCTCCTGACAACTCTCCAACTTTGAAAGAAAAGTTGCAGATTGGAGTTGAAAATCTTCCTCCATCTCATGAGGTACAATGATAAATTGGTCACTGCAACTTAATTGTCATGCTAACCAGGAAAATGTTTAGATTGAAGTACATCTACCTTCCAAGGTTTTGTAGTATTACAAAAAGACCCTCATGTTTTCTGAAATTTATAATTAAATCGATGGATTAGTTACATTTCTACCAAAGACCTTTCTGGCGTACAGATTGGGTTTTCAGATTGGGTTTCTTGTTTTGAAATGCTTTTCTAACAAAGAATCTCTGGCGTACATATAAGGAGTAATTTGGTATGGAAATCTCAATTCCTATCAATATCATTATATGCTTCATCTTTCAGTCCCATTTGTGTAAAATCGGAGTGGTCTAGGGGCTATTTTTTAATTTCCTGAAACTTCAGTGTCATTTGCCGATTTGACTAAACACCAGGGGTGGTAGATGTATTTAACCCAATGCTTACTAACTTTAAGTTGAATTTCCCATTACAAAATGAATTTGTTTACTAGTGGCAGCATACTGAGAAGAGAGAGGATACTGAAGTTGGTGCTCGGAAGGAGCCAAGGTTTGGAAAGATTGTGGAGGTTGATTTTGCTCATCCTAAGCCTAAGCTTAACCGAGATGAGGTTGCAGAACCAATTTCTGTGGAGGTAAAGGAAACAACAGAGGTGACCTTTTCCAAAAGCTTTGAGGAAATGAAGGCGAAGCTGGGTGTTGAATCAGTATCTGGGGCGGGGGATATGCAAACAACAGGAGTGGCATTTTCCAAAAACTTTGAGGAGTTGACGACAAAGCTAACTGTCAATCCAGGTAATGCAGAGGGTAAGAAACATAAGTGACCTTTTGCAAACGATTTGAGGGTATATTTGGATCATAAAATTCTAGGCAAAGGAGAGCAAAATTTCTAAAGAAAGTTATCTCCTTGTGTTTGGTTTTACTTTGGAAAAAGAAAAGGGTGATGAAAAACGTCTTTCAAAAATTCATGGAGTTTTAATCGATCTTTGACCCCCCCCCCCTGTTCTCTTTCTTTCTAATTCTCCTCTATGTTATTTCCTTTTTCTCTCCCGTAGAATTTTCCGCTGTACAAACGGACTCTGAGGAGTCGAAGCCAAAGTTAGGTGTAGAGCCAAGACCAGTGGAGTATGTTGGAACAGCACAAGTGTTGTTTCCCAAAGACAGTGAGAAGTTGAAGGAAAAATTTGTGGCGGGTTTAAGATCCATGGAAGATGTAGATACAACAGATCATGTATCTTCCAAAGACATTGAGGAGTTGAAGGAAAAGCTAGGTGTTTTGAACATAAAGCTGATTAAGGTTAACATTTTCTTTCTGGATTTATATTAAGTTTATGCTTTCCTTACTAAATGGCCAGTATTCGTAGTTGTGAGGAAAATGTTAAATGGTGTCCATTATTGATCTCCTTTCTTAATTAGAAATTGTTCAACATTATATTCTTTTATATTTCATTATTTTTATTTGCTAGATAGTAGTAACATAATGCTAGAAGACCACCATGACTAATGGGTTAACTCACCATACACTCCCTTTATTCTTAAAAAGAGTGTCTACTAAGCACTAACTAAATGCATTTTGTTAGGTGACTATTGTAAACCATGAAGAAAATAGTAAAAAGAAGTTTACCTTACATACTTTTGCTTGTTTTTTCACTTTTGCTTGTTTTTTCAATACCTATAAAATGAAGGGTATGTTTGTCAATTCTAAAATCAATTATTACCTTAAAAAACAAAATTTCCTTGATGGACACTACTTTAGAATGTATGGATACAGTGTTATGCGCACCCTATAATACCATCACAATAATAACATTAATGAGTTGGCAAAATTAATGAAGTACAAATTACAGGGGTATAGATGGTAGACTGCGTTGTTGTACTTAAAGTTAGTCTTAATAGAGTGGGCTGTAGTAGGAGCTAATGAGTGTTCATTATAGGCGGAAGAAACAGTTTCAAAGTTAAACCAAGAGAAGGAAGCAATTGCTAAAGAGAAGGAAACACTGATGCAGGAAAGGGTCTCTCTCTTTCTCTCTCTTATGGATAATTTAATGGGTCAGATTGTTTAATAATTCATTCTTTGTAGAAGTGTTTTTCCTTGTAAACAATCTGGTTTTGGTGTTTGGCAGGTTCTTTTGAGGAGGAAGACTGGTTCGAGGAAAGTTCAAGTGGGATTCCCTCCTCTATTTGTTTGCATGGTGGCACTTGTTGGTTTAACAGTGGGATTCCTCTTACGGTCTTAGTGCCAATGGGTATCATGTGTTCTTCCTTGAGTTTCCGAATAGTCTAATGCCCCTAACAGCAAAATGCTCTCCAAATCCAACATTGAATGAAGATATCTTTGTTATGTTCAACAGAAAGAGAAGATTGTTATTATATCTTAACAATAGGGATTACTTTTCTTTATATTAATATGCATAGTATTTAAATTATCCGCAGTTCTTTCATTTTGTCGTTCATATTTTATGATATTGGTCATAGCATAAATATCTATAAAGATTTTATCAGAATAAGTTAATCCTTCAATCTAAAGCATGTTTGGTGAGTGTCCAAGATGTCTGAATTGTCATTTCCTTTATTTGAAATTGTAACTTATGTTACTTGAGAAGAGAAGCTTTAAATCTTCATCATATCACAGTTAATTAAATCCCAAGATCTTTGATATGGGCTCATACTTACGACTTGTACAATGAAGCTCCAAATGTCATTTGTAATTTGTAAAAGCCAACTCAAAGGTGATGTTCGAAGAAATGACTCAAGTTATTGAACATTTGAACTAGGCAACTAGCTGAACTTGTATACTGAAGTTCGAAATGTCATTCTATAATTCTATTCCAATTTACTTCGGAAAATCTGTTTACAAAGGACACGTTGCATTCATATTCAGTTTTCATTGCTATTAAGAATTTAGTATGGAGTATAAATCAATCGAATCATCATAAATTCGTAACAGAAAAAATCAGACCTGGTGAAAAATTATGAGTTCCAAAAATGATAAGCGTTAATCAGAGATCACCAAAGGGACACCAGACACCTATGCAAAGTATCAAAGAAGGGTAAATGATAAATGCCGTTAAGAGTAAGAAGTGCTCGGGGATACATAAAACATAATCTATACACCCTTCCCTGATTTTCTACAGAATCATCAAGAGTAGGAAACTAGGAACAATTAGCACCTTTACAGTAAATGAACTGGTAAGCGTCGCCCAGAGTAAGCCTCATCAACTAAAATTTATAAAAAAAAAAAATATGTAGTACATAGTAGAATAAGCACGCAATCTATCTAATTGCCCATTTACAAAATCTTCACCCTAATACCATCATCCAAAAAATATAAACAAGAAAAAAAGCACAACAAAAACTTTCTTTCCATGTCAAAAGCATGGACAGACAGGCAGGGCAGATGAACGGGCATAGCCTTCTTGCTCAGTGCCACTGTTGAGGGTCATTCTGTTCAGTAGGTGAGCCAGGTACATACGGGACAAAGCCTCGCCCGCCAAAGACGGGTCTCATGAATGCATTATCGAATTTTCTCCAGTAGTGATGGACGGTGTGAGACGGGGTTGCCAACAACATCCTCAAACTGGGTGGACGGGGCACGTGCCCCCCTCCTCCTTCAAGATTATCCTCTGAACCCTCCTCTCGGCTTAGAAGAAGCGGAACAGTGAATGATTTTGGTGACACTGGTTCGGAAGATATCATTCTGCTTAGGTGTTTTGGTGAGGGCCGCAATATTCTGATCAAAGGTTTGGTTATCAGCCCAAAAACCTGTAAAGATGGGCCCATTCTTAGTTATTGAAAGTCAAAATATCGAAGATGACATGATAATCAAATGCAGAATGTGAACAGAAGATGAGATTGCCTTACCACTGTGCTAAATAGAACAACGCTTATAGTGCTTGTGATCATTATTGCATGCTCACGTAACTGGGTGTATCCAGACCTTGTAAACTGCACAAGTTCATTTCAAAATGTAAGAAACAGAGCCTCTCCAAAAGTTGTGAATATAAGATTGGTTCCAACTTTTAGTCCCACAACTACAAGGTCACTCCCACTTTATCTCCCACAAATACCAAGTCACTCCCAGCTTCTGTCCCCAACTTTCATTTGTATCCCACTTATGGTGTAAGAACATTCAGTTCTTGCTACTTTTCATCTTTTTCAAGCTGCCAAATGTGACCACAATATTTCACTTTAGAGGCAAGGTGTACATTTATAGATCCCTTTCTTTTCGGTGAGTGGTTTTTCCAGTCACATTTAGCCAGACTGATGGCACAAAGCGCCAAGAGTTGAAAGGATAACAATCGTCATGCACTTGATTGGATCATGGGAGCCCTTCTTAGAAGCTTATGGGGGCACAATCTAATGAGCCCACATTAATAAATGTTGAAATATATTCACGTGGGTCCCATTCAACTAATAATTGTTTATTGTCACATGTCATGTCGGTTCCTTAAACTTTTTCTCTAAGAAGTGGAAAAAATGAACTCAAGGACAAATTGCGAAAGTGTCCCAATAATAATGAGGCCATAACAGGAAAGGGAGCATGATATAATGGGGAACAACAGAAAGGTTGAGGCTATAAAAGGAAAGGTAGCATGATAAAGGGCAACAACTGAAATGTAGCATGATCACAACTAGAATTGCTAGTTTTTTTTTCATGTTTATCCCCCATCAGCAACATTAGACACCACAATTCACCAGAACACAAATAGCAAATCATCTGACCTGGTTATAAGCAAGAGCCATAGATACAGCCCCTCGCATTAGCCCAGCCCACCATATAATAAACTGTAATGCAAAGAAATATATCAGCTGAACATATAATAACACTAGATTAGTAAGGAGAACAGATACTTTATGAAACACGTACTTGCTGTCTTATGTCAATCTTTTCACCCGGGGACTTCTTAGTCACATTGGATATAAATGACAAAGGGAATACAAAGGCAGCTCTTCCAACTAAAACCAGACCCAAAAGTATTGAGCTTACTTTAATTGATGTTCCCGGGCTGGCAAAATGATATTAAAGTTAGACATTCATCCAGCAAAAATCTTAAAACCTCAACAAATAGTACTCCCTCTATCCCAAAAAAAAATCTCAAAAAGGAGTCATGTTTTAAAAAGTTAACTTTCACGTTTAAGTACAAATTGCTCTTAAGTCTAAAGCCAAACGGCAAATGATTTTAGTTAACTATTCTAAATGATCTTGGAAATAAGTGTTAAGGGTATAAGTGACCATCCATATGGTAAAAACTTGCAACTAGCTCGTTGCTCAAACATGACTCTTTTATTTGGGACATAGGAAGTATACACCATGGTGAAAAAGTTTTTTAATGATGATAAACATACCTGTCACTTACAAATCTCCATTTTTCAATGTCTAGAGCATCCATGCCAACATAAAGGAATATAAATATCTCAGAAATAAATGACAATGTAGCAAACGCATGCCTGCACAAAAAATTGAGTACAATATTTAAAGGGAGTATTTACAACTATTTAAATCTCAGGAAAAACAGATCCAGAAAGACTGCCAAAAATTATTACAGAATTTACAGATAGTTATAGAGGGCATACTTGGTGGTGACTCTAGAACTTTCGGTGACATTATGCCAAGTGTAGTGTGACATGACAATCCCGCAGAAAAAGACTGTCAGGATGGCACTCAAAGCAAATAACTGCAAAGTATTAAACATTTAAACGTTAGTATTTCCAAATTACTAAACAAATAAGATGAAATTAAATTTGAAAATGATGGGTGCATTTAAAAACACTTACTTCAGCGAGCATATATGACAAATACGCCATAAGAATCATAATTGCAACCTCACGATCAGTGGAGTGCCTACACCATATGAGGTTTTTAGCTATGAGCTTTTGTTTTGTCAAAAAAAAAATAACAGCATAACAAATTATTTAACTACTAGACGTTTTGAGATCTCTTTTTCATAGACCACCTCTATATAATTTGTACTGAGACAACGTACATCACTTCTCTTTGTTTAAAGAGCATATTCATAATGTCATCTTTCACCCTCACAGACATAAGCTTTGGTACTTACAGATGACCTACAATTGACTTTCTAAATCACAATTTACAACTGAATTTATATCCAAACCTGCCAAAGTATAGCTTCTTAATAACAAATGCACTCAGCAAACCAGCCTGAAGGAGAACAAAATCAGATATTAGGATCACATACACCACTGAAGCAAAATATTTTACATTCCATGCTATAGGAGTCGGAAACTCACAAAAACTCCAAGGAGAGTGCTCAAGATAAATAAATAAAAAAAGTTTCCGAATAATTGCAGAACCACAGCAGAGTTTATATTGGACAAGTCGAAGTTTTGAACTGCATTAAATAGGACAATAGATGTGGCATCGTTTACAACTCCTTCTCCGAAGACTAAACTGTAGAGTAAAGGTGTTTCATCCTGATTGAGTACCTGAATATCAAACAAGTACGTGAGAACGACTGAAAAATATTTAGTGCTCCGACCTCCATAAGGCATGATAGCGACACACTTACTTGCAGTGTGCATACAGAATCTGTTGCAGAGAAAATTGCTCCAATTGCTGGATACACAAAAACACAGGTTGATAAAAATGCAACTTCATGAAGACACATTGCACCATTTTAATTTTAAAAAAAAGACTTGTGAAAAGGATAGGATTACCAAGATAATCCCCTATCTCAAGATTGCCAATACTCATTTTCTTTAAGATGCCAATAGCTCCTGGTTATATATAGTGGGGAAAATGTATCATAAAACGAACAAGTATGAAAGAACTCTGCAGAATGTGTTTCTACTTTCTAGTTTCTACATATACATTAATATGGCTATCCCAGTTTCATGAAAGAACTCTGCAGAATGTTGTGTTCCTAATAGATCAAGTGCTGACTGCTGAGCAACACCAGTTAAGTAAATGTGACAAGAAAACTGTTCTAATTACTTCTAAACTGCAAAAAGAGTAACCATGCTTACCCAATGATATGATGATAAAGGATATCAAAGTGCCAACTGCTCCGAAAAGCATAATAGTTGAGATATTGCGGAAGAATTGCTTCTTTTTCACCTGGAACCTGGCAAAGTTATAATACGAGCAAATGCACATGAGTAACTTATAAGATATAAGTATAATATCAGTTAGTTGATCCACAATATTTTAGATGAATCCTGGTACTCCACTTCATGGATAATCAGTGAAGAAATATATTTCATCTTCTATCCTTGAAAGTAGCTTACACAAATAACAGAGTTTACCATTGGGTGATGATGAGCTAGATTATATATTTCCCTGGTTGATGAATTTGACACTAATAAATAACAGTTAAACGAAACAGCAAACTAATCTAGCTAACTCAAAACGTAACATATAGTTTGCCAAATAAACACAAGGGGTAGTATTATATAACAAAAAAAACTCACAAGTTCTTGCTCCAAGTAGACCTCTAACATATGCAAAAAGCAGTACACAATGTTCCGGTTCTTCATAGTTAGTCAAATTTACATTTTCCACAATACTTCGAAGTAAAAGTGTGACACCATTATCATCGCCCTAATCCCAACTAGTTGGTTCTGTTACATGAAACTTATATTAATTATTTTTTGCAAAGAATCATCAATATAATTTCATGCAAGAAAAGCGTATCATCAAAGTCTATGTGTGGCCGAAACCTTCTCAAGGAGTTATGAAATTACAAAGTCTATTCGTGGAAAATTGAAAAGACCATATTTTCTAACTAAAAGCGAATCCTGTTCTGGTATATATCACCTCCTGTTCTGAAAGTAAATCTTTTAGAAACATCTGTGAACAAATGCCAAATGGGAACAAAAAGTGGATGAGGCTAGTAACTTTTGAAAATTTCCCAACATTGTTTTCCACTTCATTGGTTGCTATGGTGGAATGTTAATGTGATAAAAACCTACTGTTCCTAAACAAACCAGTCCTACTTACACGCGAAATAGGTAGAATATTAGGAGTTAGGATCCATAAGGCACAAAGGAACGAAATGTTTGACATCATTAAAAACCCACTCCGCATCTTCATTTTTGATCTGAAATTGGCTGTGTCAAGCTAAAATAAATCACACAAAAAGATGCATCACATCGTACCCAGCATTAAAAATGATTGGTGGAAGAAGATAGATGAAGAAAAGATCCTCGCTGAACACCAAAATGTGCGAGCTTTTCCCTCCACTAGTGAGTAGAATCACAACACCAGTACATACTCCCTGCAATCAATAAAAATCAAACACACACAAGGAAATTAGAGTTGAACTTGTTAACTTCATCTAAAACCAAGTTTGTGTCTGTGTGTGGCAATACTGAAACTCACAATCATGAGAGCAGTAATGGATTCATTCATCCAACGGCTTTCCTCCAACAGATGGCCAATGACAATACACGCACATATAAGAGCCACAAATAAGTTCATGGACACCACAGAAGCATGATCCGAGGTCCCCAAGTTCGAAAACATTGTCGCAAAGTCAACTCCCATATTGACACCTCCTCTTAAAAGGTCTTCAGCAATTCTTAACACAAAAGGACAAGCTCTATCTCCCGTCTAATACCCAATTCTCTCAATTTCATACGGCACCTAGTCCTGTTCTTTTTTCCCCAGAAAAATCAGAAACTTTACGCAACTTCGACATTTATTCAAGGTTCATAAATACACCATGCATTTATATCTACGTATAACGAGATTGAACCGCTAAAATCATAGAATTACATGACAATTCAGAATTTGGGTTCGCGGCGAACACAAATTCGTATGAAGCTGAACAACTTACCAGACGAATTGGACTCAGAATAGCGCGGGAAGTGGCAAGAAAACACCGCCTCGTTCAACCAGATCTCAAATTGACAAACAAACAAAATTAAAATCGTAGTGATAAATATCACATGGCCACAAAAGTGATTTCCCTCCACAAATCACTTCCGCCCGGAGAAACCCACGGGATTGAGGGGGCAAAAAAGCTTGAAAAATCAAACTCCGCCCGTACACTGACGAGCCTTTTGACCTCTGAAGAGAGAATTATGGCAAATCACTCTGAAACAGAGATTATTCTCGACAGAGAGGAAGAGGGAAAGTTCGAGTAAGCTGGAGAGAGAATGAGGAATATATAGTTCGGGCGAAGCTGGCATGGAAGAGAGAAACGTGATTCGGAACCTGGAATGATGATCTCAGCCGTTGATGGGTTTGAACCCGCGGACAAGTGGCAAAGGGTGAAGACATAAAATATACGACTCCTTTTTGTGGCGGGGCCTGTTATTTGTCCACTTCACGGACATTAAATTCGGTACAGCCTTAATTACATTACGAGGTCTGTCCCAGGTTAATTAAACTCTTGATAAGAGAGGAAATGATAATCACTATTTTGAAAAGTACTCAACACTCACGACATGTTTTTAGACTATTATTATACTCTGTTCGTATCTATTTTCTTGTATCTATTTTCTTGACCTGTTTGCTTTTTTATGTAGTTTAAGACAATTGTCGGTAATTTTATGAAAAGTAAAAGTTTTTAATACTGTAGTAGTACTAAAACAGTACTGTAATGATACTATAGCTGCTTTTTGAGTGAGTTTATTTCCAAAAATGGAACGTGACAATTAATTTGATACGTCTCAAAAGTGAAAGTGGAACAAGTAAATAGATATAGAGGGAGTATCAGTCTTAAACAGAATAGACTAATTATATTAGGCTTAAACAAATTGAATCAAACCTGATCATACTTCAATAACTTTAAGATATGTAGCCAAACATCTGTTAGAAAAAACCAGTACAAACTTGATTAGACTAGATCAAACTTAAATAGATCACATCAAGCCTAAATAGGTCAGACATAAGGCTTCCTCATTTGTAAAATATACATGCATCATATTAGACCAGAGCTGTTTAAACCATAATTAAACAAAGCAGACTATACCGCGCTTAAACAGACCTGATTAGGCTAAATCACAAAATTATTGTCCAATTAAAAACATTCTTATTTTCTCCCAAAATGATTTGTTATTTGATGTCTAAAATTGATTAGATGATAACACTAAGTTTTCTTTATTTATATTCATATTAGTGTTCATTAATACCAAGTAATATATATTGGAAAGGGGTCAAATACACCCTCTTATTATTTGTAATTCACCACTTAAGCAGTTTTATAACAGGTCAACCCACTTTGACCTGTTATAGCAGGTCATTTTAAAAAAGGAATATTGATAAATCTTACATAAAATCACATAACTTTGAATAAATAATCTAATAATAATATAAAAAATAATATAAATGTAAAAGAAAATATAAATAAAAATAAAAAACGTTAAAGTATTAAAAAATCATAAAACTTAAAAAGTAAAGTGAAAATAAAAAAAACATTTTAAATAGAGGTAGAATATACACATAAGTTTAAAAATTCAAGAATATTTACTTTGATATTCTGAAATTTTTCACAATTTTTGTATATGTTTCTACAAATTTTAACAATTTCTTGGAGTTTCTAAATATTAAAAACTTACTGATACGAGTCAAGAACCGATTAAATGGTCAAATTGATCATTTTTTTAAAGTAAGCGTACTTATATGATAGTTTTTTAGTATAAGAATTTAAGTGACGGATTAGAAATAATAGAAGGACTTATTTCACCCCGTTTCCACACACACATACACACATATACATAGAGAAAAGTTCTAGTCCGGAATTTCAGACCAGAAGCTTTATCCGACCGCCGCCTTTTTCAGGTAGTTACCTGTAAGAAAGATTGATGAAATGTTTTCTAGCATGTCCACCAAATTTCAGCGAAAAAAAAAAATCAATCGAAAAAATAGTCAAATAAATTTTTAGAAATAACTACATTTTATATGTATATTTTGGCGCAATAATAAAATTGAAATAAATCAAACGGTCCCAAAAGACAACCGAAAAAGAGAACAAAATGGCCGGCTAGACGAAAGAATTTGGTGAAAAGTAGCAAAGTATACAGTTATACCGTAGCGATCCAATCTAGCTGTACTAGTTCCTTAAGGGAGTGTTTGCAATTGCTTCAACTTTAAAAAAGTAATTTTTTAAAGTGATTTTGGGAAAAGTGATTAATAGTAAAAGTTGGTAGTGTTTGAGAAAAAAGTGATTCTGAAAAAATAAAAGTTGGTAGTGTTTGGTAAAATAAGTACTTTTTGTGTAATAGAAAAAGTGAGAAGCAGTTTAAAGCACCCTTCTACCTGCTTCCAGCTTTTAGCTTTTAAGTGATTAATTTAAGCAGAAGCTGTCATTTGAAAACACTCTTTTCAACTTTTTTAAAGCCAAAAGCTGAAAAGTGCTTTTTTAAGCAACCCCATACACTCCTTAAATATGATACAGTCAAGAGTCAACACATCTATTACAATAATTTTTTCAATTAAGACTTATTTAATTTTAAAAGAACATCTTGATTTGTGTTCTATTTAGAACAAGTTAAATCATGACTTAGACATAAAATGTACGTAATTAATCTTATTTACGAAATTGGTCCATTTATCTTGAGCTATTTCCTTAACTTTTCACGGTTTTCATCTAATCATGCAATGCAATGGTGAATCGTGGAACGTTGATTATAGTAAAGTAGGATTCCCTATGTTGCTTGCCCACACCTTATTATGATTTATCTTTAGCATTTTTTATGAAAATATTACTAGTTTTAAACTCATAAGCAAAAAATATAACTAAAATTATGTTGGGTGTGTTTTGGAAATTAAGGAAAGTTAATTAAAACAAATTAATTAAAATGACAAAAGAAAAACTAGAAAGGAGATGGAGCAAAATTTAGCCAAAGCTCGTGCTACGCACGATGTCCTTAAAACGTATTTGTTGCCTCCCACAGTGCTAGGAGCGTTGCAACAATAGTTTCCAATATATGATGACTACGAACTAATATTTGAGCACACAAACAAAATTTCAAGCGAACGAGAACAAAGTCTAAACACAGAAGGAAATTTTCAGAGGTAGCTTGAGGTGTTTTTAGCTGAAGAAATACGTGAGGAATGTGTATGAACTCGTGTACGATCGTCTAAAAAACGTGTGTTGTTTGCAAACCACCTGCCAGCCATTATATAGGAGAATTTGTTGTGTGTAAATGGTGAATTAATGGACCTGAACGTTGGACATCAATGACCAGTCTGTCGGGCATTTAATGCTGCATTTAAAGATAAGAACATTGGGCATTAATTGTCGCAACGGTTCAGAACCGTTCAGATGCGCGACAGAAGACCCCCACCAGAACACCGTGTGAGGGGTTTTGCTCCGAGGCCAACAGAAGACCCCATGAGGGGTTCTGTCACAAATCCATCAGAACACCAACAAGGGTGTTCTGTTCCGAGCACTTCTGCCGTTGGAAAAAAATTAAACGTTTCGGGAAGAAAACGAAATTTAATGTCTGCAGGTCTCCCGCGCACACAAGTCGCGGTTTTTCTTCTCCAGTTTCGGGATTTGATTTGCGGGTGTGACATAGCAATAAGAATCACTAACCACCAAGCAGGTGTAACATAGCAATCACTGGTCATATAGATCCTTCTAACGACATAATATCCAGCAGACTTGTCAATCATAATTATAGACATAAAACTAAAGACATCAACAAAAAACAGAGCAACATAAAGTATAATGCGAAAATAAAACCATAACAAATTAAATATCTGATAAATCTTTCAAACTCTAGCACCTCAATTGCTCCAAAGCGGCAATTTAGGGGGGGGGCATTCTGTCTTCTCCCATGCTCAGCCCTTCACTTCTCCCCGTCTTCTCGTCGTCTGTTCCGCCTCCACTACCACCACCGCCCTCTTCCCATGTTGATTCACCAGAAACTAACCCTTCGACCTCCTCCTTAATTGCAGGAATGAGACAACGCTTCTCTAGATCATCCATAGAAGACATGATTATCGTTTCTTGAACCTTGAATTCGTTTCCAAAAGTTGCAGTCACACTCACGTCTCCTTAAAAAGCACTCTAGAAGCCTATAGAAGAAGAGACACACAAACAATTGGCGGAAGAAAACCCTACGCGAGAGTAAAGTCGCTGGGGAGAAAATCATACGCAACACAAAGCCGCTAGGGAGATACTGATATTCTCAAAGTGAAATTTTTAAATAGGGAGATCTTTTCTCTATAATCATTATATTAGTATACATCATTAATTCAAATTTTTACCATGATCAATGATTGATCAACCGACAAATAACTAGTAAATTCTATCTTGGTTGCCCCAACTAAGAGAAATCAAAACTGAAGAACTTTCGTACACATTTTTACTATTTACGCATTTGTATTGTTTTTACACCCAATGTGTGTAAATGTGTAAAAAATCCACAGATCTATATTTCTTTATAAGTTTGGGAAATGTGAATTAATGGACCAGGGAGGTCTAAAAGTCCATATAGACCTATCTTTCTTTATAAGCAGATGCTCTTCTCGATCTCCGCCACCAGATGTGATAATAATTGGATAAGCACTACTCGGGTAGTATCATGTGCGTAGCTATCCTCTTTTTGTCCTTGTTATGGAGTAGAATAGAATTTTTTTGTTCTTATTTTCATATATTCCGTGATAAATTCAAACTCTAGTTGAGAAAACCTTGCCAGAAGAAAACAAGATGCGAAAATAATATGATACCCGGGATATACTTTGCCAGCTGTTTCTTCATAGGACAGATCGATCTTTTCCTTTGTTCCCAATCTATCTATTCTAACTTCTAAGTAGTACGTAGTAATTTCTAAGGAGGGTTTGATACAATATTTTAAATGAAAAATAAAAGTTGGGAAAAACAATCAATATTACACATCTAATTTTGCTGATTTTACGTTTATATAGTATTGATTTTCTATAAGTCATAACTTTTTATTTATAATAAGTTACGAAGACCATAATATCTCAAATCAAAAATATTTCAGATCTTTATGTTGTCAAACTTTCAACGAGGACCCTAATATATCAAATCTCACATATTGCACGCACGGTGCACATCATATTTTTCACATATATTTTTGTGCTCTTACAAAAAAATGTGAAATTTTCATAATATGTCAGCTAATGTGAATGTATTTTGATAAGTGAGTGTTTTCTTATTTTACGGGAGATATAACCGTAACCGAAAAGAAAGATTCCAAGTCGATTAGTGAAAAGAAATTACTACGTATTTTATTTGACAAATTCCGAAGCTCCATTTCATTGAGGGGC